GCAGTTGTATTTACATTGAATGACATTTTTAAAACTTAACTTATATTCAGAGCTATGATGAGGACCCATTGTCTGATGATTCTAATAATGAATACACGATTCTAATATTGAGTACACCAAATCTGGGAGAAAAACTACAAGTTACTGGAATAGAAAGTTCTTTGGCGACTATCAATTCACCTCTGGGGAAAAATAATATTTTCTGTAGTTTAAGATTGTAATTGATATGCAAATGTAACTTTTACACTACATTACTTAATACTATGATTATACAAATCCAGTATAAGAGAAATTAAGACCGCCAGTACTAGTTAATAATAATATTTGATCTAGCAGTGGTGTGGCTAGCACTTTTCTACTATAAATGTACAACCTATGATTCTCTTTTTTCATACCACTGCAATGTTTGGCTACAAGGCAGACCTTTCTTTCCCACTCACTCTTCCCTTCACATTATATATGGATTTCTTTGTTATAATTTTAATTTTTTAGTGTAGGTTTTATAGTATGATTATAGAATTGTTATAACATGGCTGTATTTACGCCAAGCTAGAGAAAACCTTTGTTGGTATGGAGGCTGTACATGGGAGAAATTAGGGGAAATGTTATTCATGTCAAAAAATAAAGTTGCGGACCAAAAGCATAGTCAGAAATTTGGAGTGAATAAATGGCTGGTCTAGTATCAACAGAAATGAAATGTATTAAATTACTCTTCCAAAATCGAAATATATGGTCAGAAATTAAACAGGATAAGCTACTCATGCACGTTTTGTTTCCAAACTGAATTTCCTCTGCTTGGGCTCATGTACATAAAAATAGTAGTATGGTCAAAAAGCAAGATTGCAAGCAGTCAACCATCTTTGACCAGATTGTGAAACTAATTGTCATAGACATGTATAATTTGAAAAAAACTAAAAAAAACATGTCAACAATACATTCTGAAAAAAACAGATGGTTGACAGTTGGTCATTTTGGATTCGAGTACGAAAAAAATCATCAAGGACATCTGTATCAACATATACAATGTTTGTACCAAATTTTAACAAAAACCGACAAATCCTGTCGTAGAAACCACATTTTTCAAAAAAAAGATGGATGGAGGTCGGCCATCTTTGATCTGATTATGTAACAAACTGATATGAACATGTATTCCTATATTTATGATGTATGTGCCAAACATGAATACAAATGGTCTAAAAGCCATGGTGATATAGTAGTATAGTAAAAAAACAAGATGGCCACCAGTCGGCCATCTTTAATCCGACTGTAAAACAAATGTACACGTAATGTAAAAACTGACGAAGCATGCATATACCACATTTTCAAAAAACAAAATGGCTGCCAGACATATTGTATTGAATCAGTAAACCACTGCATGTGCATATATCCCAGGTAAAGTACTAGGCACATACAAAAATAAACAGATTTGGCCCACATGGTTCTTAAATATGATCTAGACAGACGGACTGATAGGCAGGCGGAGATCAAATTATAAATCCCCGTTTGAATTTCGTTCGAACAGGGGCTAATGAAGCTGATTGTCCCTGATTGCCCAAACTTATATCTTGGTATTGTGTGCATTTTTATAGGTTTATTTTTCAAGTTAGTTTTGAATCATATATCTTATTTCATTCAACATTTCATTCACTGATTCAAGAGAGAATTACACTGAAGATGATTTTGTGCATATGATTCTTTTTCTCATATTTATACTGTGTGGTCTTACAACAAGCTTTGGATAAAAGGCTTTTAGATACATTTTCAATTATTACTAGAATTCGTTAGATCGGTAACATTTGGCTGAATTGTTATAAAAAGTGTATATATAGAGTATGTACACGATTCAACGCACAACACTCATAAATGCCAGTAAAATTGTGTATGTATCGCCCTAATGTACATACACAGTATC